ACGATCATTCCTCGGTCCAGTGACCTTTCACGTCCTAGGAGGGTCTTCTATCGTTATTTTGTGGATGGGGTCGCGAAGGATCCTCAACGTTAGCGTATCGACATGTCGCAGGAGGAGCTTCGCTCTTTCTGGTCTTGGGCACCAGCGGCGGATTATCTCAGTAACCCTGAGTTTTCGCTTACCTGGTGATTGGCTCGGAATCAGCTGTCTCTCAATGACAAGGTCTTCATATAGGGATTGGCGGATTTGCCAGACTGTGAACGGTGTGACCTTGGTCCAGCAGAAACGGCTTCGCACGCCTTCTTCTATTGTCCCCGGGTCCGCACCTAATGGGACCATGTCGGCTTGTTGACGCTCGTATTATGGGGAGAAACGAATGGTGATTTGGACGGCGCGAATGGAGGAAGTCTTGCAACCGTCTTTCTCGTCAGGATCTAATCCGATTTTTTGAGCATCAGCTCAAGATAAAGATTAGAACTGATAAAAACACTTGCATTCGACAGTCTTCAGCGAAAGGTGGGTGACTGAGGTGATCTTGGTTCGTTTGTACGTGGCTAGCCTTGATTTTCTCTTTTAGGTCAGCCTACGTCGCATCGGGGTGGTTTCCTGTGGAGCCCTCCCCTTGGTTAGGTTAGACAAGCTTTTGTGTATCTAGTTAATGTGAGTAAGTGTTGTGCTTGGTCTGTTCCCGCTTGCATCTTTGGTTATGATCCAAGTTGATATTCCCAACCTTCCCAGTTTGTATGTCCGTATATATTTTCTCCTTTTCCCACTCCCTCAGCGAGAGAGTTCTTGATTTTAACCCCGCATTAAAAACGGCCTTGTGCCACATTATGCCTCGCGGGGAGTTGAGGGAAATAACCTTGCTTCGGCAGTTATTTGGAGGTTCGTCTCCAGCTGTAATGGTTGAACCCTCCGCCTTCGGCATAGCCTCGTCTGGGGTGTAGACAGCTACCCGACCTCGTGTATACGGCGTCTACGGGGAATTTTTGCCCGAGGCTACGCGCTCGGTTTTGCCCCGCATTAAAAAACGCCCTTGTGCCTCATCCTGCCTCGCGGGGACGTAAGATAAATTGCCTTGCTTCGGGAATTACTAGCCTGCCACCCGATTCACTGTCTTTCAGTAGTGTATTCTCTTTTACCATAAACCTATTCTTTCATCTACGCGTGTGTTGCTGTTCCCTTCACTCGAGTACCATCTTTATCTGTAACCTCTTTAAGGATACAACAGGGTGGGTGTAAATAATGTTGTTATAATTCGATGGAATGGTAAATACAGGAGATTTGGAAAAAATTCTGATAATCCGATGAATCGTCTGAAACATGGATTATATTTCAACAAAATTTACACTTTTCGAGACAAATTTTGATCACAATTTTGGCCTCTTTTTATATAAGAAATGAATTTTATTTTACTCGAAGAAAGGTGCATTGGAAGACCAGATGTACGACTGGGTTGAATTTAAAAAAAAAACAAACAAACACCTGCTTGTCACTTATTGTAGCATACTTCACCGCCTAAAGTTCAAACACTGTTATGAATATTACTACGTCAAGGCATGGCAAAAGTGCTTGAGAAATGTGTCAGAATATCTACGAGCAGCTAGCATATGGATATCGTTCCTAGCTCAAATTCAAAATTAGCTTTCAGAATGTTGAAATTTTATACTCCATCGTTGTGTATAAGAATATTTATTAGGTTGGTGCAAAAATAATGTCGTTTTTTTGACGTTCAACTTAACGTCAAAAACGACATTATTTTTGCACCAACCTAATATTTTAATCGACGACAAAAAACGATCACTATAATATATGAATGAGACGCGGTCATGGTATTAGATGGGTTATAGTATTTGGGTTTTCATGTCTAGTTTTATTCATTAACATTTCAGTATTTAGTTTCGTATGAAGTTAATTCCTAGTATCATACAACTGAAAGTACGAAACTTATTTTTAAAGCATATTATTTATGCATGTTTTAACAGTAAAAATCTTTTTTCATTTGATTGTTTTTTTTTTTTAACTTTAACTAAATAAAATTTAAACACTTCCTGTGAGACAATAGTTAGCAATCGAATTTGTGCAATGAGTTCGATCCTCAGATCTTCCCACATACTTGTAACTTTGTGCCCCAAAATAAGCACAGTTTACTATTTAAAATAATCAAAGAAAACCTTGAGTATGTCTCAGAAATTCCTTTCTGTATTTTCTTATTTAATTCTATGTCCATTTAGGACATAGGAGACCAAGTCTAGCGACATATTGTATTTACATCTTATCTTAATAGTAAGTCTAATCAGTTCCATAAGATCAAATTAGTAGCTGATTTTCAAAATGACCTGCAATCTGTTTTTTAACTGGGGCAAGAAATAATTTCCTAATTTTAACGCCCCCAAAATGAAAATGATCACTTTTAATCGCCTTAGAGAAACTTTTTTTTTGTCTTACATTGGCATGGCTGATGCTAATCACCAGAACAGCGACTCGTTGCATCTTTTCGGGATGACATTTTTCGCCGGCATGAAGTGGAAAGATTATATTGAGTCAATTTCTAGTTCTGCTACTAGGAAACTGGTTAACTGTGTCGTGCAAGAACCGAATCTATCTTACATATTTATAAGTCTTAACGTTCTTGCATGCATTGAATATTCCTGTCATATTTAGTTTGGTGCTTCTGTTGTGTATTTAGATCTTCTTAATAAAATCCAAAGAATAATCGGAAACATTGTCGGTCCTGACCTGGCATGTCGACTTCATTTATTTTCCAACCGCCGTAATGTAGTTTTATTTATGCCTTTTCTATAAATATTTTCACGGTAATTGTTTGGATGAGTTTTCCTCTTCACTACCTCGACTTTACATCTTTAAGTGCATTACTAGATTAGTATTAGATTATTTTACAGTTGAAATGGTTAGATGTAATCGTAAGTTCTATGTTAAGTGTTCATTTACTTGCAGTTCTCGCTTGCTTTCCAGTCGTCTTTGATCTTCAAAAATTTAAATGCAATGTTAATCGTTATCTTTTCTTTTCTTAATTCATGTTTATTTTATTTTTTTTTTTTCTACTTAATTATCCATTTTTAATATTCTCTAACACTCAGTAATGGCATGTGTCTTAGTGGCTTTATTGCTTTGCTTGACGTGGAATGACTAAAAAAACAAAACAAACAAAAAAAAAAAACAATTACAGGAAAAATTAAAAAGAATTCTTTGTTAAATGCTCATATTTTTAAATGCTTACAATTTTAATTTGTTATTTTTGCATTTTTTTATTTCTTATTGTTGTGAATAACTTAATAATAAGAAAATATTTGATTAACGTTAGATTCCGGAGGATATATGAATTCGTATCGCTATATTATCAATGTCAAGCACATTTATCTTTTTAGGTAAATACTGATAATAAATTTTAATAATATTATCTAATATAATCATTATATAAAATTATATAATATAATTATATACCATTAAAGAATATAATATGCTCATTATATACAATTTATATTTTCGGGATTTTTTTTTTCCTGTTATAAAATGTGTAGGACTCAATAACTAGCCACGTCAATTTTATTTCATTTTTTTTACTTTCTTTCTATGTTTTTTCTTTCTTTCTTCTTTCTTTCTACTTTATTTTATTATTAAAATATTATTAAATATTATTGTTATTAAATTATTATTATTATATTATTATTAAATATTATTAAATTCATTTTGCAGTTGCTGGACTTTTCGTATTTCTAATGAATTACAATCACCTTGAGTTGTTAAAAATGAGATTTTATTAAAAATGAACCTAGTTGAAGCAATTCATCTTCCCAGGAAAAATAAGTATACTTCTCATATTAAAAATGCAGAAAAAAATCAACAGTTTTAAAGCAGTGAAAGTGTTTTATGCTATTTGTTTTGCTATACGCGTAATATCAGAAATTTCTGATGGCAGAATCCATATTCGATTCCGAACATGCGAAAGAACTGATGGATTCTTCGGCGACTGGCTTCGTAGATAATTTCGTTAATCTTTTTCCGGCTTCTTGCTGGAGATTGGATAACATGAATGTTCAACAGCTTGAAACGACACACAACCAGCTTTGTAACACCACTCAGAAACCGAAAGAACGTTACCAAAATCTCATCGAAACAATTTGAGTGTATTGGTATCCGGCTCATTGAGCTTGATGTAAAATATGCTGCACGCCGTTCGAATTTGTGAGTTTGCGTAAAGATTGCAGAACCGTTTCGCCGGAACATTAAAAACAGCTCACGCCAAGAAGTCTTGCATTATTTTCAACTGCTATCTGTTAATCATCTTAGAGAGCCACTTTTTTTTGTCTTCGACTAGCATAGTTGATGCTAACCTTCAGTAGGTGAAACCCAGTGTGCCATCTTGGTCCACATCTACATGACCTAGAAGAATTATATTGAATTAACTACTAAGTCTGCTGCTAAGGAAATTGGTTCACTATAACATTATAGACATTTTTCTCGATAGAATTTAGCTTGCACATTTATATATTTACCGTTCGTTAATGCATCGAATATTGCTGTCATATTTAATCTGATGCATCTGTTTTATATCTAGAGATCAAATCCAAAGAATCATCAATGTTATCGGTCCTGACCTGGCATCTCGGTTTCGGTAACTTTTCTACCTCTGTGACACTGTTTCCCTTTGCCCCTTCTATAAATCTTTTCACAGTAATTCTTCTGTTGATGAGATTTGGTATTTTGATTTCACGAATTTAAGCGCAGTTCTAGATTAGCAGCTAAGATTCATAATTTCCCTATTAAAATCGCTCGTTGTAACCGGAAGTTGCATGTTATTTCCTCTCGCACTTCTCGCTCGTGCAACTCACTTCCGTCTTTCTGCTTTCGTGTCCACTGCGATCTTCAAAATTCTAAATGCAATGTCAATCATCATCATCATCATCTGTCTCGTCGGACCCTCTTATTTTACTGACCTCCCTGTTTATTTTGCCCTCAGTTACGCATCCTCATGGGGTTTACGGCCACATCACGTTGAAACACTGGTTCTCGTACGATCACCGAAGTTAAGCAACATTGAGCTTGGTCAGTACCTAAATTGGTGACTGCTTGAGAATACCAGGTGCTGTGAGCTTGGATGTGCGGGTGGTGCAATGGCTCGAAATCGTTAAGATCTGTGTTCCAATTTCAGTTAGGTTCGTTATATTCACTTACGTTCAATTACTCTTTGGATGTGTATGAATCCATCTCTTCTCCCCCAGCTATAGGTTAATTATTAAGACTTGTATCAATAAAATAATTATTATCTAAAATAAATTGCGTACGAAATATTTAGATTTTCGTATTAAATAACGCATAAACAAAAACAACCTAATATGCATCCTCATGGATTTTGTTGCCTTGTGTGGAATGAGATGGTTAAAAAAATACTTGAAATTCATAGATAGCAGGAAGGTATTTTAGTAAACAGGCACTAATGGGCGTTAGATGTATGAGGTTCTTAATTGAACTGTAAAATCTAGAAACTATAGATCGGGAAACTTCCCGATACTTCCTTATATAATTGTCACACTTTTCGTTTTTTTTTTAATTCGAAAACCGTCACATCCCATAATTTATATCAGCATCTAATCAAAGGTGAATTTCTTTTTAGTCATTTTTAGAATGTGGTCTAATAATCTTTTATTGCTGTTACTTACAGAAGAATAACTCATTCTTATCTAGATTCCAAAACGCATTAGATACTGTTTAGATTTAGACAATGTTCCTTTCAATTTAAACATTTGCCTTTGTCAATAAAGAAATCGTAGCTCGTAGCTAGTAAATGGTAGTTTTCAATAATTTTAATACGACGAGTTCTTGAAGAATTTCAAACAAAGAGAATAATTGAAGAAAAATGACTATAGATTTTGTTCCAGTGCACTTCAGCAAGGAAGAAGGTTAATAGATTTTACAACCGAATGGTACTTGTAATGATAATATTAAACGTTTCCTCACAAGGAAATACTCGGCATTTATTTAAGGAACAGCCAGTGCTACTGTCAATTAAAATTCATAAAATATTTCTATTAGAAACAATTTTTGTCGAAAATAGATTTTTTAAGTTAACGAACTAACAGTAATGTGGGGAATCGAAATTTAACATTGATAAGAATCTTGTTCTGCAAATTAATTTTGCATGTTTTTTTTTTCATATTTTTATTAAAAACTTAACGAAATTCTTGCTTCGGTAGCAGAATTGACTTCTATTAAAAATTCAGATATTTAAATGCAACTAAGAATTATACTGGAAAAGCGTAATATTTGAACAAGAATCACTTCAGATCATTTTGTCGTTACGCGATAAAAAAAAAAAACAACAAAAAACAAAAACAAAACCCGTTTAGTTACTTTATAAAATTGTTTACAATTGATCCCTTCTGTTTTTGTTGTGTCCGTATGCAAACAGGTTGTGTAATGGGCAGAGATTATCTGTCGTAATGGTAGTAGCAGAAAAGTAAAATTTGCTTTGATATTATTCTCGTTATATTTTAGATTTAGGCTGTCTTGTTATTTGTTAAGCTCATCTGTGCTGAACAAGCAGCAACATTTTCCTTTCTCAAATGGTCTGATCATTTCCAACAAAGTGGTTGGCATCATCATACACTTCCGCACAGAAATGTGCAGAAAATTCCTCAAGCATAGAAGAACGATATCTGTACGAAAGATTTGAGAAATCGCGTTTCTATCTATTCTTTTTCGAAAGAACATAGAACATATTTTCCCTTTTCATATCGTCTGGCCATTTCCAAACGAGAAGGCACTAAGCGCTCATCAAGCACAAAAGAAAAAAAACTTCCTTACGAAAGATATAAGAAAATAAGAATATATATATATATATATATATATATATATATTCCATGATTAAATCCTCATGGCAATGTGTACTCTCTTGGTCACCTGATTCGCGAAATCTCTTTTCCTTCTTACTTTTTGCATTGTACACCTTCAGGGCGAGGACAATGATATCATTCAATAACTTGCGAGACTTCCGTGTCATATAAAATATTTCTGTAAATAAATTAAATTTTGCTATCAAATGCTTTGACGAAGGAACACCATATCCGCGTAACTTCGAGAAATATAAGTACCACATTAAATATGCTGATTATATATATATATATATATATATATATATATATATATATATATATATATATATATATATATATTCATACACGTTTCATTAAATAATATAGACAAGTGTCGTCTGTTTATTTTATGTAAATTCTTTTCATAACATCTGATACGTTTAATAACATTATCATTGAACGAAGAAAGAAATTCACAATATTGATCCATATTTTTTAATACAATCTAAGCTTTCGGCTTACATAAGACATTATCAAAGATGTCAATTACAACATATTAAGCAATATACGGACAAGACAGTGATGATAGTCTGTGATTGTTTACATAGATGATTTCTAAGCAACGATAAACACGTGCATATAAGACGTTAGAAGCGAAAATCGCACCTCATCTCATGACGTCACACGTGACCACGCGAGAGTGAATTGGAGAAGTATGAAGTATGGGAAACCGTTGGTATAAACCAATACCTTCTGTTACCAATTATAGACATTTAAGGATATTTGTAGAGATTCTATGGTTGATTTTATTTAGGTAGGGTTTCAACAGTTTGATGTATAATACTTCAAGGATCTTTTAATTTATGTCTATTGTTTTCATGTTGAAGTATAATTGTGTTTTCGACAAGTATTTTACGGAATTGTGTGTGCAGGCAGGCATGTTGTTTTAAATGCCTAAAAATGTTAAAGTTTTCATTCAAATGTAGTGTCAAGTGTCGTGAAAGCGAGTTTGTAGTGTGACTGACATAAATATTATTTAATTCGTTGGAGATACAATCTCCCAAAAGGCACTTTTCTATATTATTTAATGAAATGTGTATGAATGAAAAGATGCTGCCCAAATACACACACACAAACTTATTAGGAGGATTTCAGATAATCATTAAGTAATTCTTCGAGTCTAGAAGAAACCTCAACAGGATGCAGAAAGCACTGGACGGCCGTCTCGTCCTATATTTGTGACTTATCAGCAATGCGCATCCACTACCGAGAATTGAAACCCGGACCGTTACGATACAACCATCATATCCAACTGTACAACGGGCCTCGGTGACGAAGAAGCAACGAATTAGACTCGATATGGCGTTGCTCGATCACAAAGTCTGTGGTGAAACTCATCCGAGTTTCCCCTACCCATATGACTGTGCCCCCCTCCCACGAGCCACAACTATTATCCCGAAGCCGCTCTAACTGACATCAACCTATTAGCAAACAATTTATACTTCTGCCAACGTATCTACATCTTTCGATTCGTCTGACGCTTACGGCCACATCATATTGAAACTCCTGTTTTCGAACTATCACACAAGTTAAGCAACGTCAAGCCCGGTCAGTATCTGGATGAGTGACCGTTTGGGAAAACTAGGTGCTGTGATCTTTTATGTGCTAGCGTTGTAATTGTTAATCGGAAAACCAAGTTCCAGTTCTATTTTGGATTGTTATATTCACTTACGCGGAAATACCTCCTCTTCGCCTCCACCGATAGGTTCATTAGTAAGGCTTGTATCACTAAAACCATTATTGTCTATTAAATAACCGATAGAGGTTAATATGACGCTAAACGAAAACCACCAATAATCAATATTCTTCTGAACTCCCTCCCCTGTGTGTAGATATTTACGAAGTTTAGTCTGGCAAATGACTACAGTTTTTGAGTACGCAGTGATTTATGAAACTACTACATAAACTACTGTTGAACGGAGAGATGAGTTCAAATTCAGGCGTAATCTACTGTGTATAGCACTTGAAAAAGTCAAGAATCCCCCCCCCCCAGCTAAATGTTAAATTGTAGTGTAGACTGGGATTTGTAGCTCTGACTGACAGCTAGCCTAACAGAAGGAGTAATCTGAAGTACAGGCCGGAGAGAAGGCAAAGGGAAACTACGCTACTTATCTACCCCAAGAGGTCATGAGAATTTATAGATAGAAATGGAAAGGAAATGTGTGGAGAGTCAGTATTGCCTGAAAGGACATGCTATTAAAAAAAAAAAAAAAACAATGTATCGTGGACTAAGAATAAAAACAGAACAATCTTTTGACGCTGACAGCCGGCACGAGAAAAATAACATGCAGAACACACACGCACACCGTACTTCAGTATTTAGTTTTATGTATATATACTTGTCGGTTTGAATGTATCACTACGAAGAGAAAAGTATTTATTTTTCTAATATGCTCTAGTATATTATTTACATTATTCGGACTATTGTCCTCATCTTTGTCGCCATATTTATCACAACGTTTCGGCCGTTGTACGTTCCGGCCTTACTTCAGGTGGTTGGAATGTCGAAGTGAACCATTTTATTTCGCTCACTGGGGTAGACTGTTCTAGTTCCACATGCCATGTTTAATGGATGTCAGTTATCAGTTATCTCCTGTTAATTCTCCCTCTGAAAGTTCTCCACTGCCTTAACCGGGTATTGAACTCACACTCTTTGCATCCTGTCACTGGATCTAACCAACACCTTTATACACTGTGCCATGTGTCCTTGAAGAAGGCCGGAGCGTATAACGGCCGAAACGTTGTAATAAATATGGCGACAAAGAATAGTCCGAATAATATAAATAATGTACATAATACCTCATCTCAGAAATATAGACAGATGCTCTAGTATATCTTGGCGTTTTAGCACTCGCCTCCAGCTGTTATCTTCTAAAGGTTTTCCAAAGCAGCTTAAATGGTTCGTGATAGTTCAAGACATTAAAAAGAAAACCTTAATTGCATAGTTGATGCTTACCAAACATAACCTACTCCCTGCCACTCTCTCTTTCTCTGTCTCAGCCTCCAGAAAATATGATCGCCACACTTAAGAACGGTAATAACAAGACAAAAGGGTGGGTGTGTGCGGAAACGTGATTCATTTGTTGTTGGAATTAAATCCATGAAAAATAATTAGAAATACAAAGACGAAACGAACGTCTAATTATAATAAAAAAAAAAAATGGCACCTCTGCGCTGTTTTCGGGGCGGATTTCATTCGTGAATGCATGATCTGCTACTC